TAAAAATTCAATAACCTCATACATTGGTGCTCGAGTTAAATACAATCAAATCGAATAATTTTTTTTTGTTTTGGTTAACCTCAAACTCAATATTTACGTCACATGAACTTAAATTATTATAACATCCTGAAAATTAATTGGTAATTTTGGGAAGGGGATTACATTTTGAAAAATAAATCAATTTTTAAATTTTTTTAGAATATCTAAAAATATTTTTAAAAGTAAATTTCAAAAATTATGATAATTTAGAGTTTAAATTTATATATAAAATATGATTAATTGATAAACTTATTAACAAAATTAAGCTATTATTTTTTTATTAAAACAAATTAAATTATTGATTAACTTTAAGGAGGACCAAAATTCAAAACTCCCAAGACGTTTAATCATTTAGATTTTAAAGTAATAATTTCTTCTATCTTCAAAATGAGTTGAACACCCTAGTCCACTTAGACCCGAAGATCCATGGATTACAATATTACATGGGACAACTAAAATAGTGACAAAAAAATTTCTTTTAAAACTGCTTTTAAATCTCTGAAATTTAGACATCTATAATGTAATATAAAAAATATAGCAATAAATTGAGTTTACAAATAATAGGGATCTCCCAAAATACATCCACAAAAAAATACAAAAGACTAAGTTCCAAAAAAGAGTTACGACTGAAAACATAATACGGGTCCATAACAATACATGCCCTCTAAAGATAATTCAAGATATACTCTGAAAGGCCTCTGGGAATCTGATATGTTGCACTAGAATGTCTGATGAGGATAGTTCCCCATGATCTACTCCCTACAAACCTGTGCACGAAAACACATTTCAAATTCTGAGACTATATTACATGCATTCACTAAATGAAATGGCAAGTGGCACATGTCTGAGTATACAACTACTGGGTTGTTAATATGTGGTTGGCTTCATGGTGCGACTGAGGGATTCTGCATCTCAAAGCTCACGCACCCCTCTAGTACTGCCAAAGCACCATCGGATACTCCTGGGTGAGATCCGGAATTCTGCATTGGAAACGTGCACCTGCGAACTTTCTCTGTCGAGTCTTGGGGCATCTGGCGTCCAGTCAGCTGTTGTAGTGCTATGGCACTGACTTGGATCCACTGACTGTTGTATTTCTGCTAAAAGGAACTCGGGTGTCCTGATTGTTTCTCGAGCATCAAACAAAGCTAGTTTTATGTAAACCTAGCTATTTATGTTTTTACTGTTCCAATATTAATTATTGTTCTCGCTTGAAGTCTTATTTGAGGATATACTGAAGTGTTGGGGTACCTCGAGTCAAATTCCCTTAAAAACTGACATTTTTGTCCAAAACAAACTAAAAGTATCGATACTAGCCCAAGAGTATCGATACTCCTACAAAAGTTTCGATACTTTATACAAGTATTGATACTTTAAATTAGTCTATAATGTCTAGTTTCGATACTTTATGAGAGTTTCGAAACTATGACCTAAATATCGATACTCTTGAAACCTAAAGTATCGATACTCTTGAAAGAGTATTGATACTCTTTTCCATAAACTCATGATTTTTCCCAAGAAGAAGAACAAGTTTTGATATTATCCCTCTAGTATCAAAACTCAACCTGCAGAGAGCATAAAATAGGTGAAAAACTTCTATTCTACTATCCCAAAGACCTTAGTGAGGTCCTCAAACATTAAATGTTTTAGGAAGATATAAAGGAGCATAAATAGGGTTTTAAACATGTTTATGACTCTAAAACATGAAATCTACCATGTGAATGCTTCAAGCTTATGCAACCTACTACATTTCATCTAAATGACTTACATATGGTATATTTGAGTCAAAAGTGAGTTATCTTAGATGCTAAACTGCTTCAAACACCCAATGCTTAACTAAGAGTGAAATTTTCCTTCCCTTTTGTTTTGGATTTCTCTCAAACTTCCCTCGCTACAAGAGAATCAAATGCATTGATTATTAACTGATTTTAGGGGTTAAGGAAGGTTTAAAAACACTTCCTAAGACTATAAATATCTAAAAAATGGGTTGGCACCATCTAGTTTCTTAAACCCTTCTAAAACCCGTTCTTGAAAACTATGGTGAAATAGGTGGTTTGAGAGCTTAAACCGAAGCTTGAAATGAAGGGTTATGATTCTTACCTTTAGAACACTGATTAGGACTGAAAAATGATAAAGTTCACACCTTTACCTTGCAAGAAAGGAGAAATATGGAAAGAAGAAGATATGAAGAAGACAAGAAATGAAGAAAAGGAATAAAGCTTCTTTGGTCCCTCCAATTATTGTAGATTAAAAACACCCTTTTTATTCACTATTGCGTTAAATCCAAGCCCAATTTCTCTTGTTTCTGCTCAAAGCTTCCTACAAGCTAGAGATTTAATCCAAGTCCTATCTCAGGTTAGCCCAAAACTCCTAACCCGGGATCCGAGGCGTTACATGTGTATTAGTTGATCCACGCCTTAATTGGATAAATGTTTATCTTAAAATATGAATATGACTCTATTTACTATGAGTGTTTATTTTATTGATTGTATTTATCTTAATATTTTATTTTTGTTTATCCATATATAAAAGTTTAGGTAAAGTACATAAATGGTCATTGGACTATAGGATACTATTTTATTATACATAAATGGTCCTTTGACTATATGATATTATTTTATTAAGTCCTTTGACTATTAAAAGTTACAAAATAGTTATTCAATTATAGAGTGTTAGTTTGTTGAGTTCCTCAACTATTAAAAGTTACAAAATGATCACTCAATTATTCATTATGTTTCAAACCCGTCATTTTCTGTTAAAAAATAACGGTATTATGAGTTGAACATTAAACAACTGACTATGATATGACAAAAGTTGATCCTAGAATCTCAAATGACTATCATATCTCAATCACCATATTAACATTCAACTAAGACAACCGCTAATTTTTTATCGAAAAAGGACGAGTTTGGAACATAAGGAATAGATGAGATGAGTGACTATTTTGTAACTTTTAATAATTGATGGACTCAACAAAGCAATACTCTATAGTTAGAGGACAGTTTTGTAATTTTTAATAGTCAAGGGAGCACGATCCAAGTAATCTTTGTGGCAAAGGAATTGTTGTTATTCCTTAAGGTCCTAGGTTCAAGCACCAAGAATGTCAGGATGTGAGTGTTCAATGTCAAATGGTTGAGAGTTGTCTTTGAACTGATATTACCTTATACTTGTCCCAGATTAATAAAAAGTAATTGATAAACTTAATAAAATAGTATCCATTTGTGTATTTTACTCAAAATTAACATCCTAAATAGGGGTGTATTCGGTTCGGTTCAGTTCGTTTTTTTACTAAAAATTGAATCGAATCGAAATAAACTGTTTTTTAAAATTTAAAACGAAACCAAAACCAAAATCGAATGATTAAAAAACCGAATTATGTGAAACATATTTTTTGATTTTCTCACTTTCGTTGATCAGCCCTAATCCCAACCCAACACAACCAACTGTCTGTGATCAATGCATATTTTTCGATTTTCTCACTTTCGTTGTTCAGCCCTAATCCCAACCCAACACAACCAGCTGTCCGTGGTCTGTGCTTTGCGCGTTGAGTTCCATGAATTTGGATGCAATAATAACATACAACAAAGGGTATCTGTACTGCAATATTATTAGTTGACATTTCCAAATATAAATACAATGAAGTTAATCCATATCCAAATATTTGTCATTTAATTATATGACCTAACTTGTATTGTTCATAATAATCCATCTTTTATACGCGCTCGTTATTAATATCTAAGAAATATTATAAATAAATGTTATCTTATAATCACTCAATATTATTAAAAAAATAATCGGAAAAAAGCTGACTCATATCAATCCCCATCCCTAGCCCCCAAAACTTTTTTAAAAAGCCAGTTTTCCCCATCTCCAAACCAACACTCTCTTGGCTTCATCACATATAATCTCCATTAACAAAGTAGCAGAAGATGGCAAGCACCACCAAGGCATCATCATCACTATTCCTTGCATCACTTGTTTTCCTTCTGCTACTCTCAGAGGTACGCCATTGACCCTTCACTCATAATTATCCCTATATGCACATGTATCGTATCCAGCTGTCGTTAATTTTCGAGATGAAATCGATTTCCAGTTGGGGATTCTGATGGCTCAAGCAGCACCGGCACCCGCACCCGCACCAGCACCAGCACCAGGCACCCTAGGTAAAACAAATGAAGTACTGAAGCACTTGTTCGTTAATTAGTACTTCTTTTTGTTGTGTTTTTGTGCTGAAATGAATCATGCATCCATGCATGTATGTATGTATGTATGCAATTGCAGATGAATGCCCCAAAAAGTGTGCATATAGATGCAGCAAATCATGGAGGCAAAAGATGTGTAACAAAACATGTGTGGCTTGCTGCCGTAGGTGTACCGATCATTGTGTGCCTGATGGTCCTACAGCTTCTCGAGATACATGTTATTGCTACTCCCAGATCAGAACCCATCATGAAAAGTACAAGTGCCCTTAGATTCTTACAGTTTAGACCCTCTTTTTGCTTATTTTTCTCTTTGTTTTTGTCTGTGGGAGAGCTCAGGGAATGGAATAAAGGAATAACAAAGAGATTTCTTTTATTCATTACTCAGCTATTTGTACGAGCTACTTCGATCTAATGTGATGAGACATTAAATTTTTTTAAGTAAATATTTTTAAACCAATGAATCGTCGACTATTATTAATAATTAAAAAAAATTACATGCCGATCATTCTTCTTCTCTACACAACTCCAAAAGATTACTTGAAATGCTTAGTGTAGAAAATCTTGTAAAAGAAAAGCATAGAACTTTCATTATTGGATACTCTCTTGAGAAACCGTCTAAGGTGTGTCAGTACACCGCGAGTCAACCTCCACTTGTGCTTCGATTTACTGAGGAACTGTCTCCACTCAGAATTGATCTTCTTCAGATAGGTCTTACATCGTTGCCAGCTAATGCGCTGCTTTGTTGTTCGACCTTGGAGAGAATCAGAATCTACATGCGTGCAAGTTCTGTGTTAGTTGTTTCCCTTCATAAATCACAGCACTAATTTTGGATGCATCTTCCTCAACAGAAGACAGTTTGGTGATTACCGCTCTTGAATCTCCCTCAACTACTATACTGTTAAATCCCAGATCAAGAGCCAGATCCATCACATGGATAGCCGTCGTAGCCTCCGCTGCAAACGTCGAGGTAACTCTCCGTATTACTCTCCTGCTCGCTCCCATTACCTGACCTCCGTTATTCCAAATGATTACCCCTGACCACCCACTCTCTAGATTTTGTGCAAAACTAGCATCAAAGTTCACTTTGACCGAAGAGGGTGGAGGAGGATTCCAACATTCATCACCATTTGAGGGAAGCGGGTGATGTCTCTTGTTTGCTTCCTCAAATTCTTGATAGTGGACCCGAACGAAGGTAACTAATTCCATAGCACTTGTATTTCCACCTTCATGATACTTTACATTACGTGCATACCATAAATACCAAATACAAACCATGATTGTAGGACCACAATTAGCCTGATTGTTTACCAGTAACCAATGTAACCAAGGCGTGAATTCTAATTGAGCCACATGAATAGGCTAACTAAAACCCAACCCCGCACATATTCCATCTAGAAATTGGAATTGCTAGAATCCTCAAACGATCTTCTTCATTGAAGATGGGGATTATTAGATCTTCCAACCATCGCATTGTTTCTGCCTCGATTAAATCATCTACTGTAACTATCATATCATTGCGAGGAGAGGTAATTACAGATGGAATCTTTCTCGGAAGCCATCAATCATTCCATATAGAAATCGACTTCCTCGATCCCACTTTCCAACGGATTCCTTTTTCAAGTAAAGGGTTTGAATCTTCATTAAATTTGCTTAAGTAAGCTTGCTGAGAGGTGAGATCCATGCATCTTAAATTCATATACCAGTTCTTGTACACCATTAAAGGCCTTCTTAAAGAAAAAGAAAAAGATAAGAAAGAAAGAAGGGCCTCATGAAATTTATAGATCTATGTTTTCTCCTCGTTTCTTTATCTGCTGAAACTGTGTATTCTTTTATTTGTCTCTTCTTCTTGAATAACATTTTACTTTAAATTCTTAGGCTCTTGTGAAATTAAAAAATTAAACAAACCTTGTGGAGCCTGCAGAAAGTCGAAAGTTTGCTCGATTTTCCTTACAGCATACACAAATGGAGAAGCCTGAAGGAGAACAATGGAAACCAAAATTTGTGGGGCATCAGAGTTTACAAGAACGCGAGGAATCATTTTTGGCACGTGATAAAAAGATAAATTGTGGGTTTGTTAAAGGTCCACAAGGATATCCGAGCACTGGCTTTGATCTGGCAGAAGATGATGTGAATTATATCAGCAGGTGCCACATTGCTGTCATATCTTGCATATTTGGAAATTCAGATCGCCTGAGGACACCTGCTGGCAAAATGGTACGGGGATAATCTTTCTTCCTGGAAACTTGGCATCAGTGTCCTTTGTGGTTGTTTTTGAATTATAGACCATGTGCATGCATGTTTTAGGTTATCTCTTTGTCGTTCTCCTTTCTTTATTCATGCAAAGCATTACTTTGGTACTTCCATTCCTCCTCCCTCCCTGTTATCTCTTCTTTAGACTGTCTTCACTCATAACCCATCCTCTTCATTTGGGTGTACTGATTATTATTGTTCATATGATATGTTGATCTTTGCATTAGATTTGTGATTTTATTTTAGAATTAGCAAATTTTGTGTTTTCCTTTTTGTATGGCACTTTCTAGGTTTCCTGAACGCAAAAACAATGGCATAGCTTGAAAAACAAAATGCTTGCTCCCATTAGGTTGAATGGCACAAAATCTAACTGGGAGGAAGGGCATGCCACTTCTTTTGGTCATTATTTGAATCTATCAGACTATGTTCTGCATGGATTCATTCATACACGTATTATCGCACTGTTCATTCTTTAATGGTTATAATGCACAACCATTTTGTTTATCAATGAATTACTTGAGCAAAACGTGATATGGATTATAACGATGGCACAATCATAGTTTTCTCCTGATAGGTTACTCGTCCATCAAGGAAAAATGTCTGTTTCGTTATGTTTGTGGATGAAGTTACGATGCAAACACTTTATTCAGAAGGTCAAACACTGGATCGTGGTTTTATTGGCTTATGGAAGATAGTGGTTGTAAAGAATCTTCCTTGTGATGATATGCGCAGAGTGGGAAAAAATACCAAAAACCACGTTTTCCGGTCTCAAGAATGAAGTTTTCTTTTAGCAGTAGTAAGTTGTATATTACGATTATCTGCTTTGTGGATGTATTATTTACACAGGCTTGACATTTGCTTCGAGCTTTTCCGGTCTCAGGTACTCAATCTGGCTAGACAGCAAACTACGTTTACAGCATGACCCCTTACAACTCCTGGACTACTTCTGGTGGATAAAATGTCACGGAATGCCGTTTCTAATCACTACGACCGCCATTGTGTCTGGGAGGAGGTCGCACAAAATAAGAAGCTGAACAAGTATAATCATTCAGTCATCGACGAGCAATTTGAATTCTATCAGGCTGATGGACTGAAAAAATTCAACGCTATTGGATCCTAGCAAGCTTCTTCCTAGCAGTAACAACTTTTACACTCGAGCATCAGGATTTGTGCTTTTATTTTGTTGTTTGAAGTGTTCGGTATTGTGTATGCAGATGTGCCCGAAGGTTCTTTCATTGTTAGAGCACACACCCCAATGTCGAATCTGTTCTCGTGTCTTTGGTTCAACGAGGTTGAGCGGTTTACTCCCCGCGATCAGCTAAGTTTCGCGTATACATACAGGAAATTGAGAAATATGAATCCCGACAAACCCTTTTATCTAAACATGTTCAAGGTGAAGAACTCCGACAGAAATGGTTTGGATTTTAAAATCGAACAACTTATTCATCTCTGGTTTCTTCAATTGCAGGATCGTGAAAGGAGATCCGTAACAAAGTTGTTTCGACATAGATCGGATGAGAAGCGGAACGTTCAACAACGGGCGACTGTGTAAAACACACGTATTATCAAACCTTTTCCGTTGAATATGAAAAAGAAAAGAATTTTGCACACTTTCCTTGGCCATGCCGGTTCAATTGCTCATAAAGTAACAAGTTGCAGCTGTGCTGGTTATCGTCGACAGTGTACGACGGATTCCAAGGAAATGAGAGAAGCAGATATGAAGTTTCTCGAGCTCGGTATGTCGAGCATGGCTCCGTCTGCTTCATTGTTCATCTTTTTGTTCTTGTGTTCACATTGATTGCTTCGTCCGTGGGTAATGAAACACCCATACTAATGACCTTCTCACACTTGAAATTTGTTGTATTATTGCTACTATCATCAATTTTGTGAACCTCTTTTCTTATGTTAATATCAGTTTTAGGACACCTGGAATAAGGACATATCCGAAACAAATGGTCTCTGGTCTCAAGTTCTTCATTACACAATCAACATTTGGGTTCAACTTGAACACCCCATTACAGCAACCTAGCCTCATCCACAAGTAGGGAAAATTTAAATTTGACCTGAAAATTAATAAATCTCTTTGCATGTATCCGAAATGATCTGGGTTTAAGAGAGTCTCATCTGACTCGAAATCTGATTTGATATTTTAAGTCAAATTTGTATTTGATCTTATCTAAATATAAATATTAAAAAATTATTTTTATTAGGTAAAATAAGGACGCAAATTGAAAAAAAAAATATAAAGATGTATTGTTATAATTATATCTATATATTTAAGAATATCTATAATATTATGTCGGATTAGATCTGATCGGATTATTTTACCATAAACACGATTTGATCAGTCTCTACCCTTAAAAACTCGATTCAATCAAGCATTGATTTTCAAAATAAAAAAAATGACTCGATTGGGCTGGATCGAGTCAAAAACCTGTCAGGTCCGGGTGAAATCATCCCTAGCCACAAGCCTATCAACCGCAGCAAGCCAAGCTATGTATGAATTACCAAGCTATTGTCAAGCTTCTCCAAACTATGTCCTTTTTCCTCAACTTCTCCCTTATTTTGTTGGGCTTGAAAATCAGTGTGAGAACCACCCTCAATAGGCAGAAGGGCTCTAAGCTTCAGCATCTTCTTCCATAACCAACTCTGATTTAGTCCAGACAGAACACAAGCTTTGTTCCATGATAATATGTCTTATGCCAAGTCTTCATTCATTCTTTGGTGAACACAATCTCTCCCCTAAAATTTTATAAGTTCGCTCCTAGTGACTTATTGCCGGTCATGGAAAACAAAGCAGCATTCACCTCCTCTTTAGTCACTTCCTAGTTAGATTTTCTTAGAACACATCAAAAACCAAGTGTTTCAGTTCATGGTACTTTCAACATCTATCTTTCATAATTTTAAAAAAGAACATAGCTTTGTAAGTTGTTTCTGGTCGATTGGTGGTTGTCTTGTGATCTAATGTGCTGCTCTGAATCTGTTCTTTGAATGGATCGGATCGTGATTGGGGTGTGACATGTTTTACTCTTAGATACGACATTGTTAAACAAGATAATCACAAACTCCGAACATAAAACGTAAAACATATATTAGAAAAAGAAATTTCTTATCAATGCAGCTGGTTACTGAACTAGCTGTTTCAAAATTATATGAGAGCTATGATAACTTCATATATAAACCCCCACACAAATCTATAAGGCTGCAAAATGTCAATTTCTGTATATTCCAGTTAACTTTGATCCAATCTCTACAAGTTTCATCCTCATACTGGAGATGAAGATGATGACTCCTTTGCATTAACCTTCTGCATCTCGAATACCAATGGAGACTCCTCCTTGGGACCAACTTGTTTAGACTCATTGGATGACCTTTTGAAACCGATGCCCTTATTCTTTTTCTTCGCCTTCTTCGCCCAACCGACCAGCCCTTCGCGAATATGTTCCTCGAATATTGCCTTCTTATACGAACTTCCCATCTGTGAATTAATCCCAAGATTTGCATCAGTTCACAGAAGAAAACAGCTTCTCCTGTTCTGGTTATTGTAGTTCATAAAGAATGCTTACCTGCGTGACAAATGCATATAGGGGCAGGGTACTATAACCGCTCACGAACTGAACGAATACCCTAATAACGACCGAATAAGATCATGTTAATAGTGCTTGAACGTTGAATGTATTATCTGAAACAAGGAGAAGAATCGAGTTGAAACCGAGTTTCTTTTGTTATGTTCATACCCTATGATTAGTCTGGGGATAATGAAACGAACTTGACCCATCATGCATGAGTGGAAACCATATTGGACCTGAATGGAAGAAGAAAAGGTTGTTATTTACTGAATATATGGAGAACGAGTGAATGACATGTTGGTAATGTTGCAAGGACATTGTGTATTTTACCCATATCCAGGCAAAAAAGGCCATTTCGAAAGAATTTTGGAAGAGGATGATGTGAATGAGGCGGAGAACGAGTCGTGGCCGGTTGAACCAGAAATGGTTATCCGAGGGTTGAACCACCAGCTCCCCTTCCACCACTATGTGTTTCTCGGCTACCTCTTGAGCTAGTTGTGTGATTATATGCTCCAACTTGGTGCCAACAGCAAGCAAAAGCTGCCAAAGGGGAAAACCATTGTCAAATACTCTAATACACCTGCATAGCTGATTCAACATGGTACAATAAGTGTTTATTTGAATCACTCACAATGAAGGGAATGAATGCTATCCAAAAATACGTATGCCAACCTGCGAAAGGAACCGAAATTCGCTTTCTAGTCAAAATTAACAGTCTTCACTGGCTGATTCAAACATGAAACCAGTAACTAGCACCATAGTTCTTGCCTCATCAAGTGACAAGTGCATATATCTAAGAACAAGACTTGCGGCGAAAATTTGAATAAGTTCGGTAACTTACCGACGAAATTCAGCAACAGGAAGATGACAACAAATGCCCAAAGATACCAACTGCAGGTAAGTGATTGATGAAATGAAAGTTTAGCATCTGATATATGTTGATGAATAGAAACATAGAGAAAGCATCAATCTTCACCATAGGTGAGCAATGACATAAATGCTTACGAGGCTAAGCATATATTGAACTATTTGATTGAAGTGTAGGAGCCAAGAAAACTGCAGTTAGCGTCTTTTATCATAAACTGACCTTATCCCGACGACTTTCTTGAAATCGGCTTCAAGAGCACGCATCATGTAGTTGTGAAAATTAAACTTTGGATTTCCCCTGCAATGAGTCTAATCGAAGAAATATTGTAGGAGTTGAGGGAAGAGAATTGATGCATTAAAAATGAATAAAAAAAGGAACAGAATAAGGTTAATTCGATTAACTTACCATGATGAAACCTAGTCTTAGTGTTATATAATCTGATTTCGTCACAGATCCATAGAACTGCTTGAAAAAAGAATACTGAAAGAAAATCAAAGTCATAAAAATTGTTACTGTGTTATTATACCAAAGAGTTAGATGATCACGACAAGAAGATCTTGACTTACCACCCATCCTTGTAGCTCTGAATTCTTTCCGATGCCGAGGAACCGATTCCGTATAAAATCATGTTCTTGGACCTGGGTGATCTTTGTTTTCACAACTGCAAAGTGACATTTTCATCACAAAAAAGCTATAGAAGTTAAAAGTTTTGAAGAATCTCAGTGCTGCATTGTTGATAAAAGATAAGCATATCATACAAGTATATCCGAATGGCCATTGATTCAGATATATAAAAGTTTAGGTGTTAGCAATAGAATATTCAGTACCTCCGGTCGGATCGTATTCCATATCCTTAGCAATTTCCTCCCAACGTTTCCATTGATGGATCTTGAATCATACATAAAAGTACATGTCAGTAGGAAACAGAAAGCAGTAGCGTTATACATGGCATCAGAATCAGAGTAACTTAATGGGGGAAACATACCTTTGTGCTTCCGAAAACAATGGTTAGAGCACAGAAAGTCACATGTACGACCGCCAGCACAAAGATGAGTATATGTAGATGGTGCAATGCCGTGGTCGATAACAATGGAACTTTCCCCTATATTGAAATTGGACACATTTGCTGTTAATAAAGCACACGGTTCCATTCAAGTTCCAGAATTGCTAGCAGTAAAAAAGGGGTACCTTAGCAGCACAGTAGGCAACAGCGGGATCGGAAGCTTCGGCGAGAAGACGACGTCCGATACCTCCGGGAAAAAAGGAGGAAAAAAGGGTCTGGAAGTGTTCTTTGGTTACTTCTTTCTTCTCCCGACAAGGCAGCCATCGATCAGCCAAATCACTTGACATACAGATTTTGTTAATCCTATCTTGGAATACTGTCAGCAACAGTGATATGAATCCCAGCAACATCAACTCTGCAATCCACAAGCACACAAAAACATTTATCATGTATGCATATATGATATCGACAACCGATACGACACGAAACCCAAAATCCGACTCCATTTTTTTAGAGTGTTACAACTTCACATACCTTCTTTGATCTTCTGCAAGGCCTCAAAGAGAGGCTTCTGATTTCTCTTCTTCAAGTACTGAAAACCAAATGGTCATTGAGACAATTCATCAAGCACACACACAGACAAATGCAGAAATGGAAACATACCTTGCCGAGGAAATGGAGGAGTCTTTCAACAGCAAGGGAAATGAAGACAATGACGAAGCAGACGACAGCCACCACCCATGTCGGAGTGTATTCCAAGGTTGTTCCTCCTTCAGACATAATTCCCAACACTGTTTTCTTCTTCTTCTTCTTCCTCTTGTGTTGGTTTTGTATGTAAATGGAACGTGAACGAGTAACAGCTGAAAAAGAGGACAATGGAGATTCTGATGAGTTGTTAATTAGCAATATAATTAATATATATTGTGCATTATTGTTCGTTTCCAAAATGGTTTCTCATTAGTGCAATTCACGTTCAAATTAACGCGTTTCACGCGTATGCTTATAAAGATGTTTACAAAGACTCAAGGCTTTGTAAGGAGCCGGCCTCGTCTCCAATAACCTATTAATGTTATCTCAATAATTCATAGATTAATTCAATAAAAAAATTAAATATAAATTATACAAAATGAACTCATCGAGTAATTGCGTTTGCTAGATATACATAGGGATTGTCATAGGTATGGTTGGGTTAGGTTTTTGGTCCACCCAACCCTAGAACAAGAGAGCCTCCACTCGAGACCCGACCCGACAAAAAAGATTTCAACCGACCGACCGAATATATGACCTAGAAATCCGATCCGACCCGATCCGAAATAATAAAAAAATTATTTTTATTCAATAAAAACAACGACTTAATTGAAAAAAAGTATATAGAGAGAGGTATTATTGTAATTATTCCTAAATATATAAGGTAAAATTATATTTTTTTGGGTTGGGTCGGGTATTTTTCATCCTAAACTCGAACCCGACACGACCCGAATATCACACTTAAAAAACCCGACCTGACCTGAACCCGATTTTTTAAAAAAAAAATCCGACCCGATCGGGTCGGAACCCGTCGGATTCAGGTTGAGTGTCCATCCCTAGATATACACGTTACCAATTCTGAATATACTATCTTATAATCAAAACCACGTGATCATATATCGATTTTATGTTTTACTATTGTTGTTCAAAATCTAGAGATGAATACGTTTCATAATTTTTTCTATAGTTTGGGACAATTATTGACAACGCACACGCATATATAAACACGATTGTTTGAACTTGTAACCTTCAAAAAGAATATTCCTCTTTACATTTCATGATTATTATCGTATGAATCTAAATGCTATTATAAATACTGATTGGAGATTAAATTAGGATTAAGTAACAAGAGTGGTTAAATTATTTAATTTTAAAATTAAGATTAATTCAAAAAAATTAATCTAAAATTTGAAAGGAATAAAACTTAAATTAATAAGAACTAAAAATATTATTAGACAAAATAATTAAGAATATAAGTTTCGATTAACAGCTTTATCTCTGGTGTCAAATGATTAATTAAATGTTCGATTTAGGTCAGCCGAATATTAATAATTGTAACAAAATAATTAATTAGCTGTTAAAATAAATTTTATACTTTTGTCTATGAATTAAAATAATAATAATTTTATGCAATATAAATTTAATTTTGAGTTGATTTACAAATAAATGCAAAAGATCCAAAGAATTAATTAGTTGAGATACGAGGATATCCAAATCAAGAATTTAATTTTTGACCCATCACCATATATTGTGTGAAATTAAATTGGCTAAAGGTTTAAATAAGTGTCTATTTTTTTGGAAATTTTCCATACAAGGGTTTAATCTTTTAAAAAACAATCAATTAGGGGTTAACATTTTCGAGTCTATTTATAAAAGATCTAATATTTCGAGTTAATTGCATCACACGTACTCAAAGTATGACCCTTATATTCAAATTGGTTCGTAATCTTTTAAGTATAGCACTTTTATCCCTAAATTATGGCTATCATTTTAATTTCATCAAACTTTTGAACATTTCAATTTCATCCCTAAACTATAGTTGCATTCTAAATTGGCACCCAAACTTTTGAACATTCCAATTTCATCCCAAACTATACGTATATACTAATCACATCCCTTGTCAATAAAATCGTTAGACAAAGCTGTACTATTATATGTTTTAAAAAATAAATTTTGGTTAAACTATGGTAGAAACTAATTACATATTTGGATTAATTCGGGGATGAAATTAGGATATTCAAAAGTTTGGGGACCGATTTATAAAGATGGTCATGGTTTAGGGATGAAATTAGAATATTCAAAAGTTTAAGGACTAATTTAGAATGAGATTCGTAGTTTCGTGATGAAATTGGAATATTCAAAAGTTTAAGGACTAATTTAAAATAAAGGTTATAGTTTAGGGACATATAATGCAATTAACTCTAATTTTTTTAATATACTCATATGAAGACCCTTGTTTAAAACATTTTCAAAAGTTGAAGCCTTTTTTTAAGTAGATTTAAAAATGTTAAACTCTTATTGGATTCTTTTGAAAAGTCGGATTATTATTTGAGTAGATATGAAAACATCAAACCTTTATTTAATTATTTTAAATTTTAAGCCTTATTTGAATACTTTCTAAAACGTTAGAACCTTAAGTAAGGGTTTAGCAAATTGGATTAGAGTGGGTTGAAGGCAGCCTTTAGTTTACACCGACGTGGGGTAGGACAATCACGGCGGTGATGATGCCGCCATCACCGCTCATTTTAACTACTTCAACTCAAGCCAATAATTATATGTGTCGACTATAATGTTGATATTAGGGATGATTATGAGTTGCGTTGAATCGGATTTTTGGTCAATTAATTTGATCTCACCGGAAAAGTAGGTCTCCTCCGTTCCAATCCAACTTGAATTGAGTTTAGGGTGATTACACCCAACTTGAAATAAATGATTTTATAAAAATTATTAATTGTATTCAATAAGATAATGATCTAATTGAAAAAATAATATAAAGAAGGGTATTATTGCTATTATCCTTAAATATATAAGATAAAATTATATTATTTTCGAGTTGAATATTTGTCACCATAAACCTGAATCTGACTCGACTCGACTCGAACTTCTATTATAAAAAACCGACCTGAAACTAATTTTTTTTAAAATAATTGACCCAATAATTATAAGAAGCTATTTTGAATATAGTGCATAATTAAGCAAATCGTGTCATAAGGCAAGCCAAAACCCTTTATGGTTTTTTAGAAACTTCCAATCCACGTTATCATAAGTCTTTTGAAGATTTATCTTCAGTATAATGGCACCCTTTCGGCCTTGCATCTTCATAATAGTGTGAACCACTTCTTGCACGATGAGAATGTTGTCAGCTGTACGACGACCTGCCAAGAAGCTATTTTGGAAAGAACCTATAATCCTTTGTGAAATAGGTCTCAATCTGTTAACCATGATTTTTGACAGAAATTTATAAGAAGTGTTAAAGAGGCTAATAGGTCGAAAAAGAGTGATCCCATAGCATTTTATCATCCAGGGTTTATCAATTGTATTAGAATAACTACTCAGATCCTCCCAACATTCTGTCTTTTTCCTTGGGTATGGTTGGATGTAGACGACACTCAACAGCTAGATTTTATCGTCCTCATTAATTTCACAATGAATAGCTTGGTCAGTATTGTAACATATAATAATGTCCATAGGACTAGATTTCCATGTTAAAATAAGACCACCTCTGAAACCATCAACAGGTACTTCGAAACACTTTTCAATTTTTTTTTTTTTTTTGTAAATTTTGCTACCCATACTAACATCGGATTTCATTTCAAGGAGACACAACATATCTGAGTCTTCTTCTTTCATTAAATCTAAACAATTCCTCGTAAAATTTGGGTTTCCCTCCCCTCTACAGTTCCAAGATCACTTTCATAAAGAATAATCTGTTCTAATGTCGTTACCTTTTTCCATAGAGTTGTAATCCTCTAAATTCTCCCTGTCTCCAATTATTACCTGATATGTTCTATTCATTCCGATCACATCAGAGACATGGTGTAACACCCTCAACCCGTACCCGACCTGGATTCGAGTCCGATGTGTCACATTGACTTTTCAAAACATTTACTTGTATAAAATAGTGAGTAATTTAAAAACTTTGATAACATTTAACTTATTCAAAACCTTTACAAAATATATCAGAATTCATACAATTTATATCCTTAGATTACATGCCAACTACACTCTATAACCAGTACATATATTTTCTGATCTGACATTTGGTAAGGAGAACTGACCTGTCTTGCTCCGCATTACTCTTTACTCTTCCCGAAACCTACGTGTGAAACAATCACACGCTAAGTCGAAGACTTAGTGAGGCATAACAACTTATAATGCACTTTATAACATATATCAATACATGCATGTTCTGTTCTATCATGTTATACCAATTCCATGCATTCTTCGTATCATATAAAATCATATCAGATTAATTACAGTAAATATATACATACACATAATTCATCATTAACAGTTTATCATGTAATCACATACTTTAACCTTTTCAATCAAACACTATACACACACAACATCATATCATTTCTATAACATTTATCATACCACTAACATATATTTGTTCATATCTCTGGATTAGCCCATGTACATATGTAAGAACTATCGATATGTGAGTCTATAGAGGTTGTGCACTAATGCTGTCACCACAGCTCGTATAATTGCATCGAAGTGCCGTGTAGAATTGCACCGTAGTGCCATATAATAATGTTCATAAGGACCACATATTATTCCTTAAGAATCATATACATATACTAGGGATCAAGTATGTGTCTTTCAAGACTTCACACATGTTCCACAGAATATATATATATCCCGAAGGACCGCGTAGAATTGCACCGTAGTGCCATATAATAATGTCCATAAGGACCACATATTATTCCTTAAGAATCATATACATATACTAGGGATCAAGTATGTGTCTTTCAAGACTTCACACATGTTCCACATAATATACATATATCCCGAAGGACCGCGTAGACCCTCGACTCTTGGCATGCCAACTATACCCCTAGCTCTCATGACACATAACATGGGCGTTATCATTTATTTCATTTCAAATATTCACATAAACTTGTAATTCACTTTCACATATCACGTATCACATAGCTTCTTTTCATATTATCACATAGTTCACTTACACGTAGATCATTTCCATATAATTCACATGTCACATATATCATGTTTTCATATAATGTCTATCATTTCTCACCCAATCACATTTATTCATGTAAACATACTTATCATATCTTGTTCACATAAGATCATATACTTCATATAACAT